GAGGACCATGTACGCGTATATTCAACAGTCCACGCTTAACTCTAAAATTCAAGTGTGATATAATTTCTTTTTTGTGATTGGATAATACGCGAATAGTTTTTTCTTTCGCATATGGTTCTGAAGTGTCTACATCTGTTATAAACAAACGCATTGTAATATGGCATACATTTTAATTGCCACCTAAATATTTAAAGTCAAACGGGTTTTTGCTTAAAATAAGCAACCGAAGGTGGCTGTGTGTAAAGCAAAGATTATCAAGTGAGGGAAATTTGCCACGGAAATAAATTGTTTTCATCTTGTGTGTATTAATATGAAGCTTGTTGCAAATTGTTTACACCATTTCATGATTACGCAGATATTAATCTTTGCTCCCTGAGAATATTTATGTGCAATTTAAAGTTGTAAGTTGCTTGGTATGTACACAAACTGCTTTAAATGTTGTCTGATTGAAGCAACGTTAATTGTAAATTAACAACAGTGGAATGTTGCATTATAATAAATTAATGCTAAACATGTTATGATACGTTTCGCCCGTTAACGCTTGATTATTCAGTGATTAATTTAGTAAGTATTACAGTTTGGGTCATAATCTGATAAGGGATTATACCTAAGCTAATGCAATTTACCTATGTAACAATTATCGCAGAACCACGGCGAGATTTATTAATAGCGGCTAACGAGTTAATAAAATCGCCAAACTGTAGCGACTTTGGTGGTCAAAATTTGGCATTAATTGACAAACAATTCAGTAAATCGTCAAACTAAAACAACGTAAACAACAAACATCTGCAACGACGTTTTTTCCACGAAACGAAATGCCAAACACCGTCCGAGTTTTCGTAAGAAACTCCTCCAAAATTACCAAATCCCCCACAAAGTAAACAGTCTTACATGCGAGTCGTCACTTATTAATTTACGTTTTGCATATTTACATGCAAATTTTTGACGTAAGTGCACATAAAAATCGCGCTAAGATTAAAACAAAAGCAACAATTTTCGTGAAACTTTCGGACAAAAATTCACCGAGTAGTTCGAAGCCGAGGCTCGCGGCGGAAGACTTTTAAGACTTTAGGGCCCCGAGTAGGATTGAAGATTGAAATAGTCAACATTTGTAACTTACCTGTGCTGCTGTCGCGAATCCGATGAGGATTGCACAACCTAGTATTGAACATATCCTTAAATACATCACTAAAAACAGTTTTTACTAGTCGAATTAACTCGACTATTTGTTTTTATTCCTGTAACTTAATATGGCACGGGTACCCCACAGCAAGCAACAAACGCATACAGTGCACTAGCTGATCAATGAGAAATACAACTAAGTAAGAAGGACTGGATGCTCAGTTGCTGACTGTGCTCATAAATACACATGCACAGTTATCGACTAGGGCAGTTGCGCGCGAAATTCAACTTTGACAGATAACTACAGCGCACAACGCGCATCGCAAAGCAAAGGCGTAGCGTGAGGGGATGATAGGGGCAATGGGCAGCGTCGCACAATATCTAATATAAATAAAACCCAAACGTAAATTACATTAGTGAAATATAAATTCAAGAACTAACTCATCTGTGGTTAAAACATCAGTTAAACATGAAAATTAAAAATATCCAGTTGTAGTAGCAAAAGTTATAAAATTTAATGTGGTTTGTGGTTAGTATACAAAAATTTAATTACTAGTTAACAAGTTAACGTCAACATATTGCGTTACATTTGAAACTAATCGATGGCAAACAAAATTCATCAAAATCGAACAAAGCGCACACACGCTTTCAAATTTGCATCAAAAGTTTGTAATTATTCCAGAGGAAGTCCTAAATGATTTGGTTATCAATATAAGAATTTTAAATTTCGCGGGCTCCTTTTCTTAATTTTTGCCAGTTCCTGTAAACCAACTGACAATTACTTGTTCATTTAATTGAATTTGACTTTTTGTTGCCACAAGAATATTATTCAAAGAAACTACAGCTAATTCACACTCAAATATAAATGCACTAGAGTCTAAAAATCTTCACTGTTTATTTAACAAGCACCAGTCACAATTCTGAGATGTTTAGACCAGTAGTTTAAATTCAAAATCCACTTCTAACCCATTTTGAGTTTCTTCTGAAGATTTTTCTTTCATAAAAGATTTGTTTAAAAAAAAGCGAAAACTTTCTTTGTTAAGGCGATGAAGATGGTGTTTTAAATACTGCAATAATGGCTAATTAAAAATAATGAGATCAAAACAAACTTGAAACTCACTTGTTCATTTTGTGTGCTTGCGTAAAGACGATTGGTAGTCGTTTCTTTTTGATCGCAAACACCATTTCTATGTGATTTCTAAAGAATCGGAGTAAAGATCTATGCAGAAAATCAATATTTTTTTAAATGTTACAATTGCCAACGTTATAAAAACCAATGTACTGTCATGCAGAAGCCTATGACTGAGTTTGGTTATCTACCATGGCCGTATGTTATCTACTGTACAGAATTTTTTTATGCAACTGAATTGCCATAGTAATAAATAGGCACTTTATGTACTTAGATAAGAGTGGTCAACAAGAAAAATAAATACCATTATCACCTTGTATTAAGTAACATTTGCTACTGAAGTCATTTTGCTTGATCATATATCACATAAACGTGTAAAAGGCTTACTTATTTACATTTACACACATACGGGAAAATTACAAAAAAAAGAAGATTAAGTTCTAGGTTGGCATTCCTTTATGATTATACCTACATATTATATGAGTTTTGCGCCAACAGAAGACGAATGATTTTCAGTGTTGCTATGTGGAGTGATAACAATCCTAATCTTTTTCATATATATATTTTTGAACGCATTTTGTACACGATCCTTTAGTAAGAAATAGTTTTTTTTGACATATAATATAAGTTGCTGCATTAAAAATTTCATCAGCTCTACTAGAACTAGAATATCTTGTAAAAAAAATCTTAAATATGAAATTATTTTTAGAAAATTTAATGTATAAATATTAGGGATGTACCGACTAGTGGCCGACCGGTCGGATAAGCCGACTATGCGGCCGTTTTTCATCGTCGGCTGCAGTCGGCGACTGGTCGGCTAAACAGCCGATCGGTCGGCTTTTTTTTATTAAAATTAAAATAGTATATAAAACAATTAAACCCGGTTTACAGAACCTCAATTAAATATTTAATTGCGATTTATGTAATTACTAAAAAAATTAAATGTTAAAATTATCCAAACAAATTTAACACATTTTTTGGAAAACAAAGTGTAGGAACAACCGTTCCCACAAAATCAGGTGTTCTACCTGAGCGCATTCATAATAATTGTAAAAATGTAAATTCTTCCTATCCTTCGTCTACCTGCCCTACGCTCCTACATACTTTCTCTTTTCCCTTCTAGAATTTTCTAAACCCTTCTTTACCTACTTCCACCTCTTCGAAACCGAGCTTACCTGTGTACCATTTTAAACACCCTTCTTCTCCCTGGCACTCTCGAACAGTAAGGAACAAAATAAAATCTGAAAACCGTACCGACGCTTTTAAATCACCAACAATACCCACAAAAGAAACTTTAGTTATTCCTTTTATTAAAATAAAACACATTTTTAAGGTAGTCAGAGAAATAGCAAAAAAAAAACACTGTCTGTCGCATTTATAAACCGGTTTTAGCAAAGCCGAACAGTCGGCCGACTAGTCGGTTTTTACTGGCCGAACAATCGGCTAGTCGGTTAGTTAGACCTACAGTCGGTACATCTCTAATAAATATGGACTAATGTACCCCTAAGAACGAATTTAGGAGCTTTCCAAAGCATCGCAACCCCTAAAAAAATTACATATCAATAACAGTAATGTGTATATATACATAGTCTCTTGCGAAAAAACTAACTGGTCAGGTTAGTTTTGGAGGCTATATGCTATATTTGGACTTGTTCCTTCTAAATTTCCATAAGTCATTTTAAAGCCAAATAAAAAGTTCAAATTTGTTGACCAATGCAAATGTAGTTATTATTTTTCGCTGATTTCTTGTGGCGTTAGCGACCTCTTTTAGTCACAAAAAAAGTTGTACAGTAATTGCAAAAATCGTTTTCTTCTTGTACAATATGATTACAGGATTTTCACTTTTCAGCACAGAACAGTGAATTTTCAGTGAAAACGATCATTCCGCATTGTTATATATATAACTGCCAAACTGAATACATATATGTCAAAAAATGTCCTCTCTCCTCCCGATTTTTAGTGGATAGTAACAGAAAAAGTGGAGTATATAGACTAAAAAAAGTGTAGTATGAATCTGCGCCTAACGTGGTAGAGTACACATAAAACAAAAATAATAAAGGCGACATTACAAATTTTATCAATCGATTTGGCAACGGACTACGTAGATAATTTGGCCAAACACTAGATAGTGTTGTTAGTAAATAGCTCCAAAGATTTTTATTTCAAATTTGGCGCCAACAGAGATGGAGTTCGCCTACAAAACTGACCCTTTGGAAAGTTTGGATAGATGTTTTAACAGATTAATATTGGATTAATTACTACTGAAAATCCAGATTTTTAACTAAATAAATGTCGGCTATTAAAGCTAGTTTTGAAAATTTAATTTATTATCTATTTAACAACATTAACACTATGAGAGAATAATAAGTTAAATGAGTTTATTTATCAAATTAATTATTAAACAAAATTTTGTGTTACTGCATTCAGGATGCAATAATTATTATTATTATCTACTATTAATTTAGTACTCCAGAAATCCACTAAATGGCGCTACTTGCACTCAATATTTACAACTCTTATTAGCTTAAAACGTAAAATCTATTTTTAAAAACTACGCCACTGCTATTCATCCCTCAGAATTAATACAAAAAAATTATAGAACACAAAAGACAGTTATGTAATTTCACATGTCCTATTTTAATTCAAATTAGCAACATCTTTATAACACACAAATATTGCTTAAATAAACAAACAGTTTACTGACTCATTAAATTTTTGACAAACAAATTTAAAATAGAGAAACACACCATAATGATGCCACTTTATTTCAAAATAAACCCTATCAACAAAACATGAATATCTGGAAACACATCTTCAATGGATATAACTTCTAATCCCTACTAAGCTGTTTACAATTTCAAAATCATTCTTTCTTATCGATGTCAGTCACTCTTTGCTGATGGCGATTAATGGCCTCTTGGTGTCTCTTAATTTGTTCTTCATGGAAGGAAATCTCGTCTTTGAGGTCATCTTTCAATTTCGACAATTGTTCCCTTTGCTAAAAACCAGTAAGTAATCATGTCATGACTCAGTACATCATTCTAACCTTCCTATAGAAATATTCTTCCTCTTTCGCTGCTTCGGCCTTCCCGAAGGCTCCACCGGCCTCACGAATGCTGCCGCCGCCACCGCCGCCTTTGCCTGCTCCGCTGCCCAAGTCTCCAAGTTGTGACATTAGTCGAAGATGTCTGAAAATGGGATACCGCAATATTATGTAAGATGCTAACTTCAGGGTGTTTTCATGAAAAAATCTACGACTTACTTGACAGGGTTCGCCGATATCGACGTCAGTCTAGCATTGCGTATAAAATTCATTCTTAATAAATAAAAGTAAGTGTAAAACCGCTAAGCACTGATCAGTCCGTGTGACAATTTTCCGGAATTTGTGAAAATGTCAAATTCGCCGGTAAGGTAGACAGCGCACGAAGTGTCAAACCGTGGCGACATCTATGACCGTGGTTTGCGTTGTGTTGACACATGATGTTTTTGTTTTGTTATTGACAAGGGGTTGTATTGTGGGGCTGAACAGATTAACCAGAGAAAACGGACTGAATACACAAATTCAAAAATGGTAGAATAAATAAGGCCGAATTGTATGTAATTTAATGTTTTATATCCGTGACCTTGTTTCGCCTCTTTCTTATCTTTTAGATACCTCAAGTACTTTGAAGACAGCAAAATCTGATAAATGAAGGTGCCTCTGAGTAGAAATGGAGTTCGGTAAAGAGAAAATTCTAAGAGTTAATCAATCAGAAGACAATTTTTCTGATATCACATTCGTTGCACCATATTCGCCTAACAGAAATGAAGAAAAATCACCTCAAGTGCAAATAGATCAACTTTTGAAAGAAATTGAGAAGAATGTATGGGGTTGTGACTTAGTGTTATGTTTGTTTGTTGCTGCTTTAACGTCATATCGGTCAGATCGATGTCTCAGACCATTCCCGCCTTCTCATATTGATGAAGATGGAAAAAATTTCGCTACTTTGGTAACAAAATTACACTAATAATTTACATTTTAATGAGTTGATTTGTAGAGACAAACCTGTGATAACATTCCGCCTCTTCACACTATTTTAAAGGAACCAAATAAGTGCTCACATGATGTGAAAAATTTGCTCATGTGGTTGTTCATGGAGAAAGGTCACCCAATTTTGAAAAGAATTAACTTTGTAAATATAAAGTTTCATTACTCATTCACAATTAATGTTGATGTTTTAGAATGCAGTACAATTTCCTAGCAAATTTAGTAATGAATTCAAACCACAATTCATATTTGAAGTGTTTTATAACGACAAATTTGAATCATTATGGCAGAAAAGACAGGCTGGGAGGAAGACAATATTAGCATATCATGGCAGTGCTGTTGATAATTTTTATTCAATTTTGAAAGTTGGGTTACAGCAACATTTTAGTTTGGAAAAGGTTAATTCTAGCAATTGTTAGTATGTATTGTTAAACAAATTTTTCTTCTTTAGGAAGTTTTATTTGGAAATGGCATCTACTTATCAAATGAGTTATCAGTTAGTGCACATTATGCACCTTTTGGTCAAACATGGACTAACAGTTCTCTGGGAAGTCAACATAGTGTGATAGCAATCTGTGAATTAATTAATGATATTGAAAAAGTTAAATGCAGAGGTATTTCATTCATTTGTGATAATTTAAACTAACAATTGTTTTCAGATTCGCAAAATAAAAAGAGATCTCTGAACAAGGACAGCCTTCATGAAATTCCTGAAAAGTATTTTGTGGTAACTGATAGTGATATGGTCAGAGTTAAATATCTTATGGTTTATAGGCAAAAACGAGTCTTTTCTGTCAAATCCTATCTAACAGAACACTTATTTTTAAGTTTAATGTTCATATATTTGGTTTCAATTATTGCTATAGGGATTTTTAGCAATTCAAGTTATACTAGGTCTTTGAAAAAAATATTTCGTATGTTTTCTTTTTTTGATTAGTCATAAGCTTAAACATATTTTTGTACTGTTGGATATTGTTCCTGACACAAATAGTGTCCAGATTATTATTGAAGCATGTATGAATTATATGCAACCAAAGAATAACAAGTAAAGTTCATGAGTTTTATTTATTTTCGTTTATATTTTTTAAGTAGAACAAATTTGATTGGAAAAAATCACAGCTTTGACAAGTATTTATTTCCCTGTGGATCATTTAAAAAAATGAATGTAAAAATTTGTACCTTTGTCAAATTTGGTGTCATCAGTGGGATCAACAAAAACAAAATAAAGCTATAACGTCACCAGTATTGTTTTCAATTAAAAAAATTGTATACAAAATGTGTAAGTAAGTTTATTTAAATATAAGTGACGTTATATCTTTTAAAATATCACTGCAAAATCCTTAAAATGTAAAATCATGACGAGTTTTTGTTAAATATAAGCTGTTTTTCAAAATTAAGTGCGCGAACTCGCTAACTAAACTATACGCAAAAATTTGATTCATTTCCTAAACAATTTCATTTTTGTAAATTTCTGCAGAAGTAGATCAAATCCGGTCTATTTTTTCACACATTTTTTGAATATCATGTCATGTATGTGATCAAATATGACACATGTCAGATTAGTACGAGGTCCAGAAATGAAGAGGGTATGAATCGCATACGTAATGCTGCATTCTATATGATAATGAAGCTATAGGAGAAGACTGATAAAGCACATGTCCACTTTGACAGATTATAAATAATACTTAATTTGGCACAGTTATAAGAGCTACAAAAAATACAAAGTCAGAATAAAGTGGACACTGGGTATAATTTATAATAAAACACAGATTTTGAGTAATCAGTCACTTTTACAATTACTTTTAACCCAAATACTCAAAAATATTGTTCAGTTTTTCTCTACGAATCGTTTATCTGACCTGCTGGGATTATTATACCTGATTCGTCCCCATAAAGAGAAGATTAATCCAGTAAGGAGTTAAAATCTAAAACGAGTTTAGCACAGAATTTCTTAAGAAACCAGGTAACCATAATATACATAAGCTCTTCATCATTTTAAAGGTGAGCTAAAGCATATTCCAACATAGGGAAACGTCTGGCCAAGTTTTTGCCAAAAGTATACATATTTAAAATTTGTGGTCAAACAAACTTTAGCCATTTTTCTGGTCCTTTTCAACCCTTCATAACCCGACAATAAAATTTTATGAAAGTGTCCAGCCTCTAAGCTTTTCTAAATTTAATCTGTAAGTCATAACGTCAAAGAAGAGACAGACTTTCAAGTTTACATTATCTTGTAGCCCCCCTCCAAGTATTTAGGAACATCATTTTTATTAAAGATTTAACGATTTGCCTACGCAGGTAATTACCGGTGGACTAATATTTACGATAAATTTTACACGTAGCCAATAAAATATTTTGAAATCTCCCACTAATACAGATTTTTGTTTAAAAGTTGTTGCAGTTGCCATCGAACTTTTATTTGTAGCTAGAGTGGAATGAAATTAGGCGCAGAAGAATTCAATTTTTGGTAAAATATGTAACATGTATATTAAGAAAAAAACGCAAAATATAAGCCCCGCCCACCCGCCCTGTCTCAATTCTGATGATTTTTTTTATTCGTCGTAAGCCGAGGGGTGGCACTTAATTGTAAAATCCTATTTTTGTACAAGAAATAAAATACATGTTTTTGAGTATCTCAATTCTCAAATGTGATGAATTTTTCATTCGTTGTCAGATCAAGGGGCGGGACTTAATTGCAAGGTCCATATTTGTCTGCAAAAATTGTCAATGTTTTCAAAACCATACCTTTATATGATTAAAATTGAAAATTTGTATAAGGAAATATCGATTTTTTTATAAGACTCCACCCCATAATTGCAAAATCCACATTTCCTTGCAAAAACATACAATTTTAACCATGTTTAAAGTTTTTTGTTGTGAAAAGATGGCTATGCATACTAAGAAAAAAAAGGTAAAAATATAAGCCCCACCCACCCGCCCTGTTTCAATTCTGATGATTTTTTTATTGGTTGTAAGCCAAGGGGGCGGAGTTTAACTGCAAAACCCTTATTTCAATACGAGAAATGAAAACGTGTTCATGAGTATATTTTGTCCATTATTTCTTAACATACGAAGTCTTCTTTTCAGAACAAGAAACTGAAAATATGTTGTTGAAAGAAACTCTATATATTAAAAAAAAGAGTAAGCACCGCCCACCCACCCCTACGTCAATTGTGATATGAGTTTTTCATTTCTAATCAGACGAGGGGCGGAGTTTAATTGTAACATCAGTATTTCTCTAGAAAATTCTACCCTTCTAAAAACATATTTCATATGGTAATTTCTTGTAAAGAAATGAGGATTTTGCAAACTAAACTCCGCCCCTCAGCTCACGATGAATAAAGCATTCATTACAATTGAGAACGGGTGGGTGGGTGGGACTTATATTTTGTCCATTATTTCTTAACATACGAAGTCTTCTTTTCCCAACAAAATCGATACTTTCCTACAAAAATTTACCATTTTAAACATGTTTTACCTTTCTTTTCTTGTGAAAAGAAAACTACACATATTAAGAAAAATGGGAAAAAGGTAAGTAAGCCCTTGTAGTTATACTTAATCTGTTTTTGAGACGAATAGCAATAAATCTTGTCGATTTAAACGTCGAGGACTATCTTTAACAATGCATAAGTACTGCTGGATGAACTTGAAGAAATCTTTTGAGCTTTTAGTCCTGAGGACCGCAGTGTTTGGCTACCCATGGTGTATTATTTTGGGAGCTCATGGAGAATTTTTTTGTAAATTATTTAAAAGAATTTTAGGTGTTCTATTTTTGGAAAATTCTGACTTGACCTGTTTTTGAGTCAATTTTGAGCACCCGTTTTTCTTTGTTGAAAATTTTTAGTCACTGGAACGAAGAAGGGGTGGGTGGGCAGGGCTACCGCTTGTTCATAAAAATAGAAAAAGCTAAATTTAGCTCCGCCCACATGCTTTCTCCATTTCACTGATTTATTTTATTTAGTGTAAAATGGAAATTGAAAAATAACAGTATTGCATTGTCAAATTTTCGGGAAAATGGAGTGAGCCGTTTCTGATTTAATCAATAAAATAAATTGACTCATTGACTCATTTTTTTGAGCCAATTGTATAAGTAAATCTAAAAGATATGAATGCAATGATAAATCACAAATACAGACTCATCATATTATGCACATTTTGGGTAGAATTTATTTGTCAAAATTTTGATAAAAGTGCAGACACATATTCGAAATCAAGTTTGTATCTTAGGAATATCGTGTATGAAATGGAAAAAGCTCTGCGGAGAAGTAACTCGGTAATGCCTTATTAGTTGACGAAAATTTTGAATGTCGGTTATTATTGAATTTAAATTATGAATATCTTCTTGCGTGAAGTATTTATTTGTTTTATTTTATTTACTGAAGTGAATATGTAACAAATGCCTTTTTCATTCTAATCACTAATTGCAACACTGAACTATGTTATTTAACTTATATTGATTAAATTTATCTTATTTTAATTTTGAAAGTAGTGAAAATATCAAACGGTTTACCCATTTAGGTACCTGAACCGGTCTTTTTCTAATTCATTCATATTTTTCTTATTGGTTTCCAGTTATGCTTGATATAATGTGCAGCTGTAGAGTTACTGCATATAAAACAACAGAGTTGGCAAAACATCTTTACATACTAATTAATAATCCACTCACGTTCAGAACTGCAGGTGTTTTACTGTTACACATTGTATAGAATTGTCTACTAAAATAGCTTTTCCATTTATTCTAAAAATCTGCATCCAGAGCTTATATCAGACTTTCATTTTGTTTGTTGATATCTTCAAACATGGATAAATCAATGAAATTACATTATAGAAATCTTTGAATACAGCTGCCAAAATTACAATTTCTTTCCCCTAAAAAGTTTGAACGTTGCAGATACATACATACATTTTGAAAAAGTAATTTCGTATTAACAGATTTATTGTTATGAAATTTTAGATATAACTTGACCACAACTTTCCCTATACAGAGTCAGCTCAACATTTTAGCAAATTTTACTTCGAGTTTTACGTCTAAAGAAGGAATATCTGGCTCAATATTTTCTTTGTATAATGTTTAGTCAACGACGACTATCTCCAAGGCATAAAAAGTTATTAGTCAGACTTTCACACTGACGTAAATGGACTTGAACTGTATCAAACAGATTATGTTGATGTTCTGGTTCAGATGAAGATCACTGTTTCATTCCATAGATAAGTGGCATTACATTTCAAGTTATATTCACTCTAGAAAATTTTGAGATGACGTCATCATTTTTTTGAGGAGATGAGAAAATAAAATTTTGTTAAAATATAATAAATTTATTTTAAAATTTAATTATTTCAAATAAATTGCATGTATTAACAATGATATATGCGTTTGGTAACAGAAACCGGTACAAAATGCCTGTTTTTCAACCTTGAAAGTCTGAAACAAGTTAATCAAACTTCAAGAGTTCCTACAAGTGTCTCGATAATTACCGTATTTGCAGTAAGCCGTAACTATGAAACCCACAATGCACTACCGTAAGCAAATGGCGTCAAAAGGATCTTCCACTACTGACCTGCTTTTCGGCACGTCCCCCACTGATAAAATGCTTACTCATTTAATATTATAGATTTTTGATATAGTGGATGTTGTTCATTTAATATAAATGCAAATATTGCCATATGTTATAACGATTTGATTGAATAGCCCGCCTACGCTTTGACGTCACAGACTGTGCAGTTGGTTACCGAACCTCGCAGGACAAAATGCGAATTGTAACTTAGATCGATGGCAAGAAGCATGGGAGTAAGACATATGTTAGGTGCTGTGTTTGCGGTTCATATTTTTATTCAAGTAACATGCAGTTTAGAAGTGAAAAAGTTCCCTTTGCTGATGCCCAATGTGTATCCTGACAGGGTAAGTGGCCTTTCATTTCTAGTAGCTGTGTTCGTGGGGTTGCCTATTTCTATTGATGATCGGAAAGTTCATTTGCTTTGCCAAAAATTGCGGGAACGTTTAATTTTGTATCTGGACTGTGATTGACGCACATTTATATTTAATATTAAAATTAGTAGTTGTTTTTATTAATTATAGCTGGTTTTCCCCGACCAATATGGATAAGATTTCTCAGATTCATTCGTCTATTATTTATTCATGTGGAGACCATTTGTTGCACAATCCGGGTCCTTTGCAAACACTCGATTTGAAAACAAATTCGTGATTGCATCAATAGTAATTTGTTCATGTAAATCATGTGTGACCTTAAATGAGAACTTAAAATTATTTTATTTATAATAAACATCAACAATTGTATCCGTTCCGCTTCAAAATAACAACATTAAAATCAGTTATTATATTTTGTTATCCTAATTACAAAATTACATTACTTTAGTGTGTAGAATGGAATGTAAAACAGCATAAAACAATTTTAACACACCTGATAAAATACAAAAAAAAGGAAAGAGGAAACACGTTGATTAGTAATTAAAACACACGTGTTGATAATTGTAATTATTTCATTCGCTTCCATATATGTCCATTTGAAAATTTCTGCGCTAATGAACGCTAATTACGTCAGTCTACGTCACTGCAATCTTTTAAAATGGAAGCTCGCAAAAATCATACTTTCTTAATTAGCCAGTTTTGCAAACTTAGATGTTATATATTTAAAAAACAAGAAAAAACCTATTTGGGTTTGTCGTTGTGTAAGGTTACTGATTAACGCGAAAAAATCATTATTATCTGGACTCCCCTACATCAACCCGAGTGGCTAAATTGAAATAAAATTGCGTTATCTCATGATAATCAGTAATGACACAAAAATATACTGAAAATAGTTTTAGTAAAACCCTACGTTATAAAATATATGGAAACAAAAATGAAGATTTTTGGTTGATCATTTCAAAAACGCACCCATAGATGGAGTGTGCTACATGATCTTTGTTTATCGTCAGCCTATTTACATAATAATTACATATATATGACTTAATTAGTTTGTTTTATAATAGTAATTATATAAAAGTAGTCAAATTTTCCATAAATTTACAATTTGTGGTGTATTTTGTGTTGCATATATATTTGTAGGTAGCATGTTTTTTTTCACGCAACGCAATTATAATACGTTTTAAAGATGCAGTAACTTTCCTACATATAGGAAAAATAGATGACTTGTCATTGTGTTTCCATTGACGGGGTATCTGTTAATTTCCATGATATTTAAGTAATAATTTTATTTGTTGTGCCCCAGACGTCTATACACTGGACACTGCTCTCGCACGGTTTTTAAAGTTCAAGTTAAAGTAGTAAAATTACCTTCCATAAGATACAAAATATTTGTTTTTCAGTTGCAGGTTGTCTGATTTATTAAAAATATTTACTTTATAATACATTAACCCCATTCATATTGTTATTCCGTTATGAAATTTATTTGTACTTAGTTGATTTATGTGGACTTTTTGATTCAATTTAAATTCATGATGAAACAACTTCCCAAATGTGAAGGTGAATCACAAAAACAAATTCCGGGACGGTAATAAATTAGGTCTCAAAACGCTTCGAAACTTCCCATGGAAATAGTTTTGTAACAGTTTATAGCTTTTTTGGCACAACAAAAACCCGTTTAGGTGAATAGATTCAAATTTCATACAAGTTTTTGTTCCATGTACGTGCTTTTCATTTATCGGGAAATAACCCGATCCATCATGTTGAAACGGGAATTATGTTGGGATTATATTCAACTTTGTACTAAAACTGAGTTTATACTAAAATTTAAACAAACAGTGTATGGTTTTTCTATGTTACACAAGTAACAAAAACTTAATTCGCGCTACTGTACTTGTTGGATTAAGTGGCCTTAAGCCGAAATTAATCAGATTGTGACAGATTCCAGAATCCCCTTGTAATTCGTAATTTATTGATCGTTATAAAAATATTGTTGAAACATTTGCGAATGCGCCATCTCGTGGTGCCATTTTTGTTACAAATGATTCTCGTCTTTGATATCGGTTTTGTGTGTGCACGATTTTATAAATTTATTCTAAATAAAGTTTATATTTTCGACGAAAAAATCACAAGCAAATTCCGGAACCCCAATATACGCCAGTCTTTTGATATACTTTCCCTCAACAATTTTGTTCCGGCAATTACATCTTGTTTACGATTTCAGATATTGAAAACTTTAAATTGAATTCAGGCACAAACAAGCCACCTTCAAACTTTCTTTTCATCTTTTCTAATTTATTTCCTCACGTAAATGGCATTTTATACTTGTTTAACGGTTGCTTTGGTAACAGAATTGCTTGAACACCGTCTACGGTAACAGGTTTTTTAATTCGCCCCTTCAAAGTTTTCCAAAATGAAAAAGTTTTATTTGTGGCTTTTATTACATTACCAGAGTAAACGGTGATTGAGTTTAGCGAAAATTAATTGAAAAAATGGAAATACATTTTCAGCCAATTTTATTTTGCACCAACGTGACTGAACCGGAAAGAAATATTTTTGTTTGATATGAGTTTTCTCTCCAATTTTTGAATACGTACCTGCAGTAGCATAGTTGTAAAAATGCATTTTCTAGCGTTATTGTAACTATTTTTAAGCATATTATAGGTTTCGCTGGTTATCTTAATGTTTCTAAAGTATAAGTTTTTTATTTTTTGTGTTGCTATAGTGTAATAATACTTGTCGTGTATATGTCATTTTTTATATTTATAGCATTCTTTTCACTGTTTTAGGACGAATCCTATTTTTGTACACCCGTACGAGTAGTTCCTGATAAAAGTTTCTACATAGGTAAGTTAGCAACAAATTCCGAAAACCCTCTACTGTAAGTAATATTCTAGTTGGTTTTGAGCCGACTGCAACAATGGATGTAGTCCATCATATGATTGTTTTCGGGTGCTCAAAACCTGGAACCACTGATCCTTATTGGTATATATTTACAAAATTAGTGTCACTCACCTATTAATTTTATGTTCATTTACAAGGGACTGTGGTGAAATGGCAACTTCCGATTCCGACCCAAAACTTAAAAAAGCTAATCCTTGCGCCGATGGTTCTAATGTAAGTACTAGTTGCTAAGCGACTTAAGCTAAATATGTTTTCGCAGGTGATTTACGCGTGGGCTCTAAATGCTAAACGCTTAGAACTTCCTGAAAATGTAGGTTTCCAAGTGGGGAAGGGAACACAGATTCAGTATCTAGTTCTTCAAATTCATTACTCAAAGAAATTTAAGAGTAGGTGTTCGTTTTTTTAAATATCGTAACTATATTTGTACTTTGTAGAGCACGAAAGTGACAAATCCGGCTTGAATCTTATATATACCGAGGAACCGTTAGTTGTGTGTTAGTACCATGACGTAATACTAATAAGTTGATTTTAGGCAGAGTAAATTGGCTGGTGTTTTACTATTAGGAACAGGTGGTGCTATACCTCCACGTAGTCTTACACACATGGAAACGTTATGTCAGCTCAAAGAAAAGAAAACTATTTTCCCATTTGCTTATAGAACTCATACGCACGAATTAGGAAAAGTAGTATCTGGGTATAGCGTCCGCAGAGATAAATATGGCGTCGATCGCTGGTCGCTCTTGGGAAAACGTAATCCCTACACCGCACAAATGTTTTACCCTATATTTAATAAAAGTCCCATTAAATATGGAGACCGACTTGTAAGAATCACTAAATTATAAAATATTGCTTAAAACTGATATTATCAAAATTTTAGGCCGCCAGGTGCACAATGGACAGTAGTAACAGGACTGATTATACGATTGTAGGGTATGTATAATTATTAAATAATTTAACCATTGTATTTTCCATGTTCAGCCAAATTCAAAGAAAACGAGTTAAATTTTTCAGATATTAGATTTCTTGAGTTGGTAATAAATTTATGTTGATTGCTTAACATTAGTGTCAGCACGCACCGTTGTAACTTTCGGTAGAGTAATTTTGTTGTCGGTTTTTTAGCCCTAAACACGAAAATGAAATGTGTAACTTTTACATAATGTACTATGTGGAGGAAGGGACGCCCCTTGACATGAAATACTGCATATCTGAAGGACCACCGTACTTCTACTGGCGTAACGAAGAAAATAATCTGAATAACATTCCAGAAGAAGAAGCATCCAATTTAATTTAAAACGACCAAAATGACAAACGTTAAAAACTAAAACAAATCGAATTTAGAGATTATATACCTGACATAGTAGTATTATATTTTTGTAAAAATTTATTTGACGACTTCCGTTTATTTCGCAATGAGTTTTTGAATACGATTAACTTAGAATTTGTCATTTTTAACCAGGGAATTGCAATAGCATATCTCCAATTAGGACATATACATATGACATACCAGTGTTATCACTATGACTTAAGTAACTGTAGTCAATTGCACTAATATCAAGAGATATATTTATGTATTACTTAATTTATTTTTACTTAGTAATTTATTGTACCTATAATTATTAAGTACTTTAAAATCGTGCGCCAAATATTTTTCACTACTTGACATAGTCGAATATTTACAAAAATCTGCATTCCAGGGTTAGATAGCACACGACTTGCACAACTGATTTTGCACAGTAGTTTCATTGTTTTTAAATGGTGGAACTCTTCATGTTAGAATTGTGGCAGTTTTACGTCTTTCCAGTAGTCATTGCTCAGTATTTATTTGCCACAGAGATTCGACTATTTTATTTCTTAACCGTATATTCGACTTTACGCACTTCTTTCCACAGTAGAAAATGATATACAAGTTAGAATTTCGTAAAATATGTATACATTCATGTGACTATATAACCACTTAGTAAAACTTTATGTATCAGTAAGGTTACATGGGATCTGAATTATTTAGTGAAGAATTGTAAACTTTTGTATAATTACACGAGCATTGTTCATAAGTTTTTTTATTTTGTGTTGTGTACTGTCAAAAAATCCAAAACAAAATCTAATTATTGCAAGCATATGTGATGTAAGATTATAACCAAAATGTTATTGTATCTCCCTTATTTTTAATCTGAAAATGTAGGTCGTTATCGTTTTTTCTACATCTTTTCTAGGACACACGTTAAATTAATGGTACTCATCAGTGCCTTGCACTTAAAATTACCTAAACATACGAGTATAAGCACAATATTATCAAAGCTGTAAATGGCCTATGTAATCAAATATACGTACACATTAAAAGTAAAGATTTTGTTAGTTGTAGAAAATATGTTTTATGATTTGTGAAACGTATACATGATTGAAAATAATGGAGACTGACGTGTTCATATTGATACCGGCCATGATTGATGGGTTGGTTACGTCCTCCTAAAACGTTATATTGTAACCAGATGTCGCTTCTGATTTCAAACGGCATTGTAGAACTAATATGTCGCCTATCAAAGCTAAATAGACACATATTTTTATTAGAACATTGTATCATACAAAACAGTACAAATATATTCCAATGTAAACTATTTTTTATTTTTATTTAATTATAGTACACTTGTGGCGTACATGATCATTGCTCAAACTTAATATACTAGTTTTTTCAGATATCTATAACGATAAGCGACATATTGCTTGTATGTGACACAGAAGTCAAAGTGGCCGTTATGAATATGAGTCCCTATTTATCTATTCTGTTGTAATATTTGTTATACAGGGGTATGTTTGAAGATGAGTAATAGTTTATGAATTTGTTGGTATTTTCGGAAATTTATTGTAGTTGAAATGAAGTATGGTAAACATGAAAACACGATGTACCTATGTGTGTATTTTTGTATTGAGTGTGTATTTACTTAGTATGTCGATAAATGTGATGCTTCTATAAATGGGTATGTAGGACCTCATATCACAGTTACGTTTGTTTTTACTATGTTACCACCATTTTTCATGCGTGACGAAAATCATCGCTTCTTCAATGATTTATGTTTACCGTTTAATTTAGTCTAGTGCCAAACTATAGCACTAATAAAATTGATTAAGTACCTTCAGTTACAGAAAAACAATTGCCATCAAATCAAAATACGATTTTGTTGTACCTAAAACTGACGAATTCTAAACAGTCTTCTCGTTATTTGTATTTGTTGGTGACCTATACCAATCCAGTGATTTTTACAGTTGTGACTTAAGTGAAGTAAAATAATAAGTAATTGAAATTATTGTAAATATCCTGGGTGACTTTACAATGTGAAATTTGATATATCCTAATAAAATTTAAAATGCCGGTATTATCATATACAGCAATTCAAGCTTGCAAAGAACTGTTGTAGATAAAAAAATATGAGTCTTACCAATTCCTGTTATACTGGGTGTCTCAGATTTCCTTATAAATACGACATTTTGCTTCTATAACTTACACAATACAAAGTAACTTTGATTCGTTGCGTCAATATAAAATATCGTACATAACAATGGATTATTATCATTTAAAGTATTCATTGTATAAAGTTGGCGGGAAGTCACATTATTTGTAAATGGAATAGATGCACAAATTTTCTGACGTCACATGATTTTCACATAGCGGAATTTAACTTTAAAATATATGGAAAAATATTCTTTGGTGAGATCATTAAAAAATACTAATAACCATCATTAGGTAGCATTTTCTTTTGTTTTGCGCGCATGTAATATAATTAGTAGCTGGTGTAGACAAGTGTTAATAAATCTCCGAAATATTTTGCACACATGTAAATGGTGTCCTTGAAACGAGAATTAGGATGATCCCGACATGCTTGTAAAAAATACTTATAATAATGAGATATTCATATTTGAGGCACCTGTATATTGCTACAAAATTTGTAGGTTTACTTTAATGTAAAATTCATGTATAGTTGTCTAATGCACCTTTTAGAGCTTAAGTCACGAAGCTCGATTAAGCTTGCTTTATTTTTTATTACTTTCGTACAGGTGCTAACTATTCAGTAATCCCGAAAACGCTCAAATTAACGAGATTAATACCAAACGAAATTTCATAAAATATTTGCATTAGGAAGTTAAAATTGACGAAATCAAAATAAATACACGGACAAAGTAATTTTAAAGAGACGACCTGATTGGTTGAGTTTTAATTGGTAATTAACGAAATTGCACCTTTAAAAATATACACACCTAAATTTTGGGTGTATTCGGGTGGCTTAAATTCTTTTTCGTAAACAGTAGCCGCTTTCAATTGGGATATTCATATGTGGTAAAAGCTAAACTTAATGACAAGTTGAACAACATAGAAAACAGGACTGGCGGAGTCACTAGGCGGAGATTTTTGTAACGTTGAGGTACTTGTACATGAATACATGGCTGTTTCCTAAAGAACATCGTACATATGGCGTGGGCCGTCAAGAAGTACATTAAAAAAACATATTTCTTCATAAATACGTAAAATATCGATTCTTAGGTTATCTGAATCGCCATTTTTTGATGTGACGTGCTTATTAAGTGAGCAAAATGGACTCGCACTTCAAAAAGTGACATAATTCGCGCCAATTTATTTATCAGGGTGGGGTGAATTAGGAAAGAAAAAACTACGAATCGTGTTTGTTTTTGAGAAAATATTAAAGCCAATTTGTTGTTAAAGTCAGTTTTTAATGAGGAACTATCGCTTGGGAAAAAGATTTAAGACACCCCGTCACTTTCTTATTTTTAAAGGAAAATCCTTTGTTCTTGTTTATGTAAAGGATATATTAAAATTTCGCAGTATTTGAAAAAATGTCCTAATGAGTTTAAGGAAAAGGACTTTAGTCAATAAACCAACAAACACAAAGAGTTCTCTGACGTAAATAAGCTCCCAAAGCTTTTAAATTTAACTTCTTTCCTTTGTTCAAAGATCGAACCCTTTGTACTTTGTACACAACCTTCTCGGATTGTTTACAGTCTTTGCATTTTTTATTATCATAAATGTGTAATATACCTACTTTCATGAAAAAATAAAAAACATCTATTTTAAGGATCCGTGCGGCCATAAAAACAAGAACGTTATTAGCGTGTATTACACCAAAATCCGTTGGGCTAGGACGGCATAGTTCGGTGCCTCATTTCGCGTAACGGATATTAAAAAAAATCTACGTTTGTAGTTGATGGGTTTTTTTGAATCGATCAAGTAAAGACAAGTGTTTCCTTTTAGTTCAAGCCAGTTCAAAACATCCGGTTGTGTAGCATGGTGTGTAGTAGTAAAATAGTTGAAATTTATATTTATAATTTGAAAAGTAGCACTTTTGCGTGCGAACTCAGGGACTGTATAATTTGCGGTTATATGAAGCACATATTGTGTCCACAATTTTACATTTAATGGTAATAGAAGACTTGTTGCTAGGCAGATTTTGTTGTTTCGAATAAAGTCAACAGAGGAAATTGTTTAAAATTCGTCGATTTGGTAAGACTCGTTTTCGAGAGGGTTAAAACACTATTTGGTTGTTGAAAGTAGTGTGATAAACATATGAATCGCCAATGCTCGTGAACCTCAGTCAAACAGAAGTTTTTTTATCTAAATTGTAGTACGAGCCGGTACACAGGACATTCTTATTATCAGTGATAACGAGATACGAGGAATTTGGTTTGTAGTAGGTCGTGAAATATGTGGGCTCTTATGCTCTTTCCTCTAACGCATATGTGACTTAAGTCGTATAAACTGCTGGCAGGTCGGCTTCGTTGGAAGTATCAATATTTTCGTGAGTTGAAGTTGTTTTATCGTCCGAATAGATTAATTAGCAAGATTGGAGATGATGATGGCGTAAAAATTTCAAGGCAATGTACTGATAAATATCAACCACTATTATATCTAATGTAACTTCTAATTAAATTGTATATTTGTACAGAGAAAAATAAATATATGTAAACGAAGCATATCCTTTTTATGCTGTGTGTGTATATAGAGTTGTCTAATGTTGGAGCTGGGTTGTGGTTAATGTTTTAATTTAAATTTGAACACTTGTTGAACGGTCGATGGTTGTTAGGTTGTTTTTATGGGATAAATTCCATTAAAATATAACTGCGTTGTATGGGGTCGAGGGGTAGAGGGAGAGGGCGTGCGATCGCTCTGGGAAGCGGTCGTCCGTCGAAAATGCCCCGGTTCGTCAGCGGCGGCAAGGCCTGGAATGTGGAGAACGATTAAATTTCGCGACAACGAAAAGGTCTCCACCAGAATCAAGGTCTCCAATTTGCTTGCGGCGAGTTAAATGTGATGTCATAATGACATCATCGGGAAGTGCTGCGGCCGTTGAATGTGGACATGGCGCTGGCATTTTCTGTGGCCTGAATCCCTCCAGTTGCAGCTTACGCGAGAACGCCAGCTCTTGGGCATCCGAGTGTTGGCGACTTGTGACTTGTCGCCAATTCCGCGCCATTGCCGCTCTCTGTTCTCTCGAATCGATAGTGGCTGACGTCAGAGCCGTGCCGGAGGGGCGCTATCAACGGCGGGGGGGGCAGTGCACTTGTAACTTGGCTAGTAGTGTCATGTATCCGCGCAAGTGGCTCTGCGAACTGTCTCATGTTCTGTGATCAATTTGAAGTGCACAACGCTCGATTTGGCGTAAGTTTCGTACATTAGCTCATGTTCTGTGTGTGCGCTGAGGAACGGCCGTCCTGGTGCACGTAAATCCTCCTACATTTCAGTAACGTGCTAAGTGGCCTTCACCGGCGTATTTGTGTTGACATTGAAGGTCTCTACGCAAAGACTGCAAAAGGCCAGTAGAGGTCAACTGTCGAATCTAAACAGCAACGCCGAAATGGTAAATCTCACCGCAAACAACACCATCATGCATCCTTGCTCGGCGCCATATCATCCTCAACGGCTTATTTACATTTTTTCAAATTGCGCGCCAAACGCGTCTCACGCCAGATTTTCCGTGAAATCGTCGAGAAAAATCGCACCGGCTAAACTGGTTGCGGCGGTTGCGGCTGGCGTCACGTAAAAAACCAAATAAAAGAGCGCTTCCAGCTCTTCCAGCGACCGATAAACAATAATTAGTATACAATAATTTTATGACATCTTGAGATGTGGCGCGGAGGCGCCAGATGGAGCGGCCTGTTCTCACCCCGATCGCGCCAAGTTGGTTGCAGGATGATCGGCGCCTCGATCATCTCACCTTTCACCTTTTTCTTTACCTGTCAACGCCGATATCAAACTTCGGCATCTTGCATAATGTGGTGACCGCATACGTGCACCACGTGGTTATTTCGGCGCGCAATCGCGACATATTTCACAATCACATGCTGATTTATTGTTTGTAAACATTCTCACTTACATTTCTTCTCATTTAATAACCCCGCCCACTCGCGGCCCCCTCTAGTTTAGCTGAATTCACCTTGAATTAAACACGATGTACACAGCCGAATTTTTACAATTGGTTTCGGTCTTCCTTTCCTTTTTTGATATAATTCCTGTATAGCTTTTTTATTAGCACAGGTAATTACGAGCATGCAAATAATACAATCAAAGGAAGCCAACACAAAATTACATCACTCCATTTCTGGGTTTATTGCTTCTGTTACGATAAGATATTTCGTGATTTGATAACAATCCGGTGTATCATTCGCTTTAATTTTTGTTTTGTCTGCGCGAGAAGAAATGGTTTATGAACTTTTCCCTGCGTACGTACCAAACAACGCTCGAGAAAAGACAACTAACTAATAATAATTATTGATGATGATTATTATTATTAACACATTGCCAGGTCCTTTTTTTAACGACCTTGATGCTCATAGAATACTGTCGTTGTCTTGACAATGAACAGAACCGATCACACCGCATATATTTGCGTTTGCGAATGCGAAAGCTAAATACAATGTTAGTTTTTCACAAAAAAAGCATCACCTCAATTCTGCACCAAATGCTTATTAACCCATCAAATAATATTATTTTATGCAACATATTGTATTACCGACGACTATATACTCAACCTAACAATAAGTGAATTATCTTCTTGACATTTCAAGCGGTTTATGACAAGAGGTTATCAACGTTACAGCCGATACGTGTTTTACTATCAAATTTTGTGAAGTGTAACACTCTATGTGGACCGAACGCAAATCAAAATTAACTCCATTCGGAGACACTGAACCAAAATTCTTATGACGTATTTTAATGGTTTTAGTTTAGCATTAAATTTACTTAATTGTTTTTCGTTTACTTGCATGTTATGACACTAAAATTTTGAACAAACACAGCTTATTTCATTTGAAGGTAATCTTTTGTTTAAATGTCATTAACGTTGCTAAACGACAAACCGTTTGATTGCATTTTAAAAATTTGTTTTTAATTTCGACAAAAACACTATTTGTAGTACTTATCAACAGTTTTACCGCCAATTTTAAGAGTTCAATAATGTGATTTTGATTTTATTGTTGCAATTAATTTGTTTTTTACTCATTGCTCGTAAATTTAACTCCGTGTTACACCGCTATTAATTTGAAAATACGTAATTCCCCTTAATTTTAACTCAAAAAATATATATTTAGCAAAAAATGTGTGCATAAAAACTAATTTTATACTTCGATTAAGAATTAGGCTAGTGGTTTAGACTCGTAGAGCTTGTGTGCAATTATTTATCATATTCTTATTAAGCGAAATGTCACCATATAAAAATAAACTAGGTGTAGGTGTTACATTCCGTCTTCCTATTCGCATTTTTGAAAAAAATGGGCCAAGTTTTCCAGGAAACACTCATTCAGTACGTTTCAAAAAATATCTAGAACGTTACTGCTAATGACTTTTAGTGAAAATCATATTCAACCATTTGAACAAACTAAACTGTTCAAATCCAATTTCGGCAATAATTATAATTAATAATCAAGCTACAGTAAAAAATATTGAACAAGGATCATGAGTGTTCTCATTACTAATAAGACAGAAATCGATTGTAAAAGTTATGCAGTAGTTAAAGTACAAAAAAAAGGGAAATAAAGTCACCTTTGAAACTACTGTCAGGTTAAATTTAACGTCACATTGATTATGACATTTGCGTCGTATTTGTTAATTAATTGTAAGGTTGACAGCATGTTACGACATTACGTAGAATCAAATTGCCAATTATGTCAGCTTATATTCAGCGCCACCTCTAATTCAGTTTTTATGATGTCCTGTTTTAGCAAGTTTCAAACAAAACTCTTCGTAGCATCATTTTACTTTGATTGTTCAGCTTAAAATATTTCTATGCATTTCAATTACATCTTGTATATTCAGTGTCAAAAATCAAGATGGATAGATGGGTGGTGAAGCGCTTCAGAAAATTTACACTTCATTCGGTACACACTAATATGTTTATAGTGTTGACATTTCAAGGTTGTACTTCAATAGCCGAACCGAAAGAGGGCGCCGCTTTGAAAGTGAAATCTTTTTGTTTTAATTTAAGAGCACCATAACCGGAGAATTCTAAAGTCACTAGATATATAAAGTACCGCAATTGGGCGCCATATTGTGTCCGCGCCAAATTCAAAATAAATAAATAAAAATTAACGGACTCGATACTTGCGTACAAAGCGTAAATGTAGATTTTTTTCAAATAAACATTTATTTATGTTTAAGCGTTATTTGTTCAGTGCACTTAAATGCCATTGATAAACATAAGAGGTGAGTAAAAAATATAGATGAGAAACCTTGCAATACCAGTTTATTAACAAAATTTCGGCCGCAATAGTTTCCTTCCATCTGCTCGCTTTGCTTCGAATTGTTGTTCAGAAAAATGTAACTAAAAGTAAATAGTATTTAACATTGTGCAATTACATATTCAAGCTTTAGCAAGTTATTTCGCAAATTCTGGAGTTGTCGTTCAAATCGTCCCGGCCTATTAAATTCTCCCACATCTCTCTTCTAGACCTATTACTAACACCTGCAACAATTTAAATTAGTTGAGAAAACTCAATTGAAAACTTAGTTGTAAGCTACCTGTTGGAAGACGAAACAATCGGCTTTTATTTTTACACAAAGGAACAGAACAACTTGGCATTTTAAAATAAAAGTCATAAAACACCACAAAAAAACACAAACAACTTTACAAAAAACACAAACAACTTTGCAAAAAACACAAACAACTTTACAAAAAACACAAACAACTTTGCAAAACAGGACTTACGCCACGAGGTGATGCGTTAAAGAGCGTTTGACAATTAACATTGACGTTTGTCGGTCGCCATATTGTGTCCGAAATATACGTTCTCTCTCTAACACATTGAAACATTCAATTGCGGTACTTTGGTTATCTAGGGACTTTAGAGAATTCGGAGACGCGGCAGTACTGATTTGATCCAAAGCTTAAATGATTGTGACCCTTATTATTCAGTTCAAAGTGAAAATGAGTAGAAGGTGAGACGAGTGTTGCTAAGGATTTTCTCAAAATATTTGTTACATAATCCAAAAAAATGAGAAACTGGAAACCGAAAATCTACTATGACTGTGTTGTCGTTTTTTTCAGGAAAATAGAAAACATATGCAGTTCATTGTGTAATACTTATATATACAGTATTTTGCTTTTATATTGTAATCAGTGCTGGTAATAATTTGTGTAAATTTAACCTGTGCACCAATCGACCACAGTTGCTGTGGGTAGCAATTAAAGCTCATTTTGTTGAAATTTCAAGCTGCCATTTTATATTCTCTTACCGCAGCAGAAAAAACCACTACTTTTTTATGATCAGTCTAAATTTTTCCACTATCCGTTACAGACAGATGCATCAAAACAACTAATTTTGTTTGTTTTATCACTGCTAATACATAAAATAAAGGAAAATTTGGAATATGATGGTGACATTGTGGCATTTGTTTGTTGTGTAGTCCAGTAAACTTTCGATTTTAAAGATGTGGTTACATTAGTCTGTATTGTGGCTGACCCGGACGAGAATTTTGTGATTTTCCGACGGGTTTTGTCAACCACAACTCAGTATAGATTATGGGATAATTGTTTTATTGTAATGTTGTCAACTGTCCAGCGTTAAGGTGCAACGTAAACGTAACACATGCTACACAATATTATACAATATTAAAATACGTCTGAGCGTCAAGGTTATGCCGCAAATCTAAACCATCTTCCGTTAGTTGTAAAGACCCGACGTATGTAACTGTATGCTCTGTTCGGGTCTAATGTGCAAGGGCCTTTAGCCGTCTACGAACACATAATAATCTCCGAGATTTATTACTTGCTCTTAACAAACATGTCTAGGTTTAGCGTACAATTGCATTATCTAAGTGAAAACAGATCCATATGTGGACATTATGCAATAAAGTTGACTTTAACGAATGATAATAATCTAAGGGTTGATATTTTATAAATGGAATGTTTTTTGCGGTGTCGGGTTACCTATTCGTTGCCGGTTTTGATTAAATTGGGTACTTTGCTGTATTTTTTAGTTGAGTTGTTCGTTATTAAAGTCGATTTTTCACATTTAGTTTTTTTCCAGGTGCTGTGAATGTGAATGATGGAATTTTATTTTTTACTGAAGGTGAGTTTACATTAATCTGGGCAATTTATAACTAAAAATTTATGTGACAAGTGTAATTAATGATGCATGCTATGTCGCATTTGTCACGATCATTGGCCATTTACACCCGGCTACCATTTTGCGATTTTAAAAATAACGATAGATGTGTTATTGGTCGATTTTTGACTATGGTCAAAAAAGTATTTGTAGGACTATCAGTCGTTACCATAGTAATTATTGACATAATAACTGACTCATAGATCATATGTGTTCTCTTAATCTCAAAAATTCGATACAGGTCTATGTAATCTGTAAATTCGAGTGTGGCTTTGAAATTGTCATTATGGGAAATTATCTCGCGCTGTATCAGTTACAGTAGGCATTATCTTAATATTCTGGTGATACGGCTTGTCAGAATTTGATGAGACGCATTACATAAACAAACGACTAAGCAACACTTGTTTAAAGCGTTCCCCATGCTAATTTAAATTTTTGTCGATGTGACGGTTTTTTAGCTCGAGAGAACACAAGTAAAGTGTTGTAATTTTTGCAAAGACCTCTCGCTATGAAATGCAAATTAATTATATCATTCGCATTAATTACGGTGTGGCAATATTGTCGGAATTTCAGAAATCGGCGCAAAATGTAAAAAAAGCGAGACAGCACGACGATAGAAAAAGAGGCAAACAGCGAATCGTGCTGATGCTAGAGTGTTCTTGCATTTGTTCGCAAGTTTAATACCGCCATTAAAATCATCGCAGCGTCGTCGAGTTCTTTCTCTGGTGGTATTAATTTGTTCAATTAGAAGCTGGTGGATTCTCCTACGCATTAATGTTACGGATAGTAATTGATTTAGTTCGACCACTTAGTAGAATCGCAATGAATGTAAAATAAAGTCGGAGCCTTGTCGGAGCTTAAGAGAAAATTGTAAAATAATTTATTCTTTCTCGTTATATTCTGTTAAAAGGAGCTGCATTCCAGACTGAGTTAGTTACGTCACGTCGTGTGTATCTACAGAGTGTGCAACATATCGTAAGTTCAAATTTGCCGCTTATCGGTACAGTCACGTTCAAAAAACAAATTGACATGTAACGTCGGTTTGGTAGTTGATAATCTACCAGTATTGTGTTTACAGTGTTTGAATGGGTACGTGTGTTTCTATATATTTTGAAATGGAGACCCGTCTTTAAAGCCCAGACCTTTGTTAACACTTATCACAAGTGCATATTTATTTAACAATTACAATAAACACTACTATTTACAAAGATATCTTATCGTAGAAGTAGATGAAGAGATTTCGACAAAATTACTCTGAGTAATGTGACCTCTCAAAATAAAATAATCAAGTTAGCGTACTACAGGTAAAATCTTGTAACGCGACTGGTAGCAGGATAAGTTTTGTAGTAATTTAAAGTAAGCATTGATAAACTAAGTGTAATTTCAGTGTTAAGGCCAGGGTCAAGTTAAATCACATTGTATTTGTATAACCGTCCTAAATTGCGTTCACTGATCACCAAGACACGTATTGATGCTCTTAATTAGTTGTGTACATTAAAAAGTGTAATTGAATTATTGATAATCAATAGCGGCATGTATACACTTTGATTTAGCGTTCCTATGATGTATGCAACCAATTAATCGAATTACGTAAAGTGCTTTCGAGTTGTTTGGCGAGGGTCTGCATTTAATGAAACAATAGCTTCGACCACTCTTCAGATTTTCTGACCTCACAGAATTTTATTTATCGTTCATTGTAACTATTTTATTTTTAAACTGATCGAATACAAGTATATCTATTAATCAGATATAGTTATAGTCATACAAGTAAAATATGACGAAGATTGCAGCCATATTGTTGTTAAAAGTAATTGAAGAGTTCATCCGGTGACAAATTTGAAGCAGTGTTTACATTCTTCTACATTCTGTATTTCCGGCTCGATTTCGAACAATTTGTTTGTATTTTCGCACACAGTGTACGAAATCGTCACTCTGACGTCACGTCACGACAAAGAGCGCACGATTCGCCGTTAGTACATTTTGTTTTAATTAAAAGCGTTTCTATGTATTCCACAAATAACTTTAAATTTAGAAAAATTTTTGTTTTTGTCGTGTGGTTTTTTCAGACGTGCATTCGACGATTTGGAGTTGAGCCAAATTGAAAAGCTCATTAAAGTTTGACTGGGTTCGCCGATAGATGGCTCGTCGGGTGAAATTTTTCACTCTTATGAAGGATTTACGATATTCGACAATGTTCAATTGGGTTTGTTTTCATTGTTTCTGTGTAAAATTTGTAATAATTTACTGGTAATTCGATATATCAAAGAGGAGGGAATGGCTCGTGGCATACCACGTGTGTTGCACACAGCTGTGGCACGGACAGTAGGGGACATTTACGGCAGGCATGTGTGCATTTCTTCACAGGGGCCTGCATTGACGTGGGGTAGGCGAACGCTACAATGTTGTACAACGTAATTGTGACCAGTTTTAATCGGAAATGCCACGAGGGTACGAAACTAAGACGGAATCTAAAAAAAATCCTGGTTGCATTTGCAGTGTGCGATTGTTCGTGTTTTTATATTATTTTATTGGATGTATCATTCATGTATCACTATCGTAAAAGGGTGTTAATCTAATCGGTAGTTATCAAATAAATGTAATCAGGCGCTTTAGTGTCTAATTTTTGTCAACTTTTATTATTGTCGTTATGATTATTAATTTTTGTCAAACAGCGGGTGTGGGTACAGGGTGGCCTAATTTGATTGTAAATGTAATAAAATTGTTAATAAAATTATCTCATTTAGCTTTGTTGCCAAATTTCTCGGAGCTCTCTCCAAATGTAAACTAATTTCAGTTGAGTTTTTAATTACGAAACACGCCCTTATACACTTGCGAAAACGTTACTAAGCGATAAACCGTTTGCGGTAGGTCTTGCACAGATACATAATCGCCTAGGTCTATTTTTGAAATAGTAAAAATTTCACACTTGCTGATAGTCCTGTAATAGCACGATAATGATAAGGTGTACCGACTTATAAATACGCTATAAAACATTCGCAAATGTGTGAGATTATAATTTAATGCTATTCTCGTAAGGTACGTTATTGTTTAATAATTTATTTTGTTACTATTTTAAAGCGTGCTCGTCAGACGGTAACCATCAATTTTATGAATCGATACTATTTAGTTTTCTCTTATTTTATAAATATACAAATAGTGTGACGTTTACTATTTCGGTCGGTCATTTAAAAGCAAGTTTATTCATGAAAAAAAGTAATTATTTTTTACGAAATTACTCAGAGAATGACTAACTTTCATTCATGTTCTCGTGCATTGCAGATGATGCAAACATGTGGATGATTCGCACTTTTTAGCATCAACTATGCGTTCTGGTACTTATTTATCTTGCTAATTTATAATCAATGAAAATACGGAAAAGTTCATCCAGATGTTCGTGCCGGTTTACACTTTTTTTCGCACAATATAAGTATAAAATCAGAGAACTTCCGAAAGTGACAGCTAGGGGTTACTTTCGCCCGACTTTCGTTCGGATTTTTTCGGCCAAAACGCACTCATGTCTTGTCAAAATTCGAGTCAGCTTTTGTTGTTTAACGAAAAAACGCCATGTTGGACGGATGTCGACTTTTGATGATAGCTAATCGTTAGTTCTCTAAGCGATAACTTAAAAAAAACATCGTTCCAGTAGATTATGACTTGACGCAACAATTTCACTTTCTAAGATTGTATGCTCACTTGATGGTAGTTTTTTGTTTTTGTTTCAGGAAAAAGTAGTATAGTTATTTTTTTCGCGATTATGACAAATGTAGACGGGGATATTTATTTGCTCCTAAAGTTTGCACTCTCACTAGGTGTGATCTCACAGTGTAAGTGAAATTACTAATAACAGCCTTGAGGTTTATAATGTTTTTTGAAACATTCGAAATGACTGGTACATCTTTTATGTATATTATATTATTGCTACTAATGTAATTATATTGTTCCTTATAGAGTATTATTCGTTAAAAAACGATTTTAATGTCAATATTTACGATTGGTATATTGCGTTGGACTAGGAAAGTTTTAGTTATAAACCACTGAAAGTTGGCATCCCTCCAACATGACATTTTTTTAGCGGAAATGTTATTATTTTCATAGGTTTTTGAAACTGTAGACTTTCCGTAAATATAAAGGTATTATAGGTTATGCGGATTTGCACTTATTATGTGTCATAGTCAAATATTACGTCACGGAATGTGGTGTTAGGATCCTGTACAATATGTTGTCACGTAATTTCACGACTTCTTTACTGTTTCCATTTAAATCTGTATGATGATCAAACTATGTAGAAAAGATAGTACGTTCAAATAGTCTTTTATTTTCAACCAAACCCACATTCGACAAGGTCGCGATTTTGCTCACAATTTTTTACCAAAATTTGTCTTCAACATAATAAATTTTGGTTTGCTAATTCAGTAGACGAAGTAAGAACGTGAATTAACAATTTTTATCTCGTATGTTTTCCAAGTGTGTAGTACAAGTTGGGATAGATTTTTCGCATTTCTTGTATTGTTTACACTTCTTTGCCACTAACGACACCTAGAAGAATTTCGCTTAAACAGTCGTCGGCTTGTCACATAGAAGGTTTCTCTTGTAGAAATCAAAAGTCATATTTACACTTTATATTTTGCAGGTTTTAAGTGTGCCGGGATGTCAATTCAACTTCACTCCGCACCTGCTTTATATACCAAGAAGTACGTGCTTTTTTGTTAAGTATTGGGTCTTTGTACAGTGTATAAATAAATAATTGAATATCCAGGTGTAGTGTAGCCTGTTATTAGCAAACAAGTTATTGAATACATTTTAAACTAATTTACCTGTATTCTCGGTTTCTGCATAAAGCAAAAACTTGACGTTATAATATCCACTACATTACATTGTGTTGCGTAGGTGCCTTGACCTGTCTGACGTACTTTTTTGTTTTCCATTTTTATAAATTTTAAAAGAATTTCCAGTGAAGACGAATT